CATCCACCCTTTTTTGACCCTCCAATGATCGGAGGAATTAATGCATTCATCCAGATCCACATTTGAAAACGGGCGCGTTTTTGGATTGGTTACCAGATGGGGGTGACCTGAAGCTGTAATTTGTACTTGACAGCAGTGGGCCCCCCAGACAAGCACACACCAATTCACACAGCTATGTATCAATCCATCTATCATCAACCTGTTGATCAATCCATCTAATCGGCCATGTGCTCATTCTAATACGACCAGAGATGGAAGCAGGCAGCATCGACGCCTTTTTGGACTTCTTCGGCCCCTCCCGGCAAGTGGAGGCCGCACAGCAGCGCACGACGCGCAGCGCAACACGCACGAAAGAGCTTGTTCAAAGATGCGTCTTCGGCAGTGGCCGACATGGAAGGACATCAGCCAATCCAATGAGGGTCACCTCGGTAGATGGTGACAATATGGTGGCAATAGAGTTCCACAATCCACATCTTACACTATGAAGGCGCCGGTTCCAGTGCTCCGTCTCTTCAGTCTCTTCACACAGATCCTTTGCTCCTAAGGATCTATCCGTGACCAGTCCAGCTGCCCATGGGTGGACTTGTTTGGTCATGGAAGACTCTTCAAAAAGTAGATTCATCTTAAGTCCGTTTGCTGGGTGACAGGGTGACATGTTTTTGTTGACGTGGGGGATGGGTTGTGACCCAGGTAGGTCAAGCCAAGTGTCCGGTTTCGATTTTTCGGGCCAAGTCGACTGGAGGCTTTCTTGCGGGTGAACTTGCAGGCCAAGGGCGACCAGATTGTGTTGACCACCTCCCTGGAAGAGATTGAGGCACGCTGAAATCGGCGCCTTCACCATCCGGGACCAAATACCATCGGACCGGCTGCGACTGGACAGGTGCGACAGCTGGGTCCTTCTATACCGTGTTTTTCCTGTCAGTGGTGGTCGCTGCTTGCTAAAGGAAGGTCAGAGATGAGTCGTATCCGTATGCTGTATTGATCGTTCGATGAGCAGAAGAGCGCAGGACCAGAGTAATGGACCGCTCCTATGTACATATTATGAAGCAATCATTGATCTGAAAATGTCATTCATTGGATGTTCCGCCACTTCCCAGGTGAGTTTGCTGCCCCTTGGCTGATCGCTTTTGGCCAGCGGATGTGTGTGCGCACTTCGTTTGGCTGCCCCTGACCCGTGACCCGTAGTGATGGCTTTTCAGCTCGGAGCAACCAGCAGGGTGGGGGGAGAATTTCAGCCCATACACTCCGTGTATGTTGCCCACATCGACCTTGAAACAGGCCGAACAGGCAATATGAGATGACATGCCTCGCCCGAGGCAAGTTTTCAAGGACTTTGTGGTGAGTTTGAGTGACTCGTCACAAAGAGTGGTTGACCGGTGTCACCGGTCACCTGAGAGTCCTTAATTCACAAGTGGGTTCTGGATGAGCATGAAATGCACAATCACTTTGCTGTTTTTGCTTTTTTGTGTCTTTGTTCCGGAAGTGTTTGTCCCTCCGTTTAAGGCTGCGCACATAGAGCAGACATGCGTATTCTGGGGAAAGCAAGTGTATATATATATATATATTTGCAGTAACATGACATAAAGCACTCTTGCTCAGACGCGAGGAATTTATTATTGGGGAATTATGTTTGTTGAAAGTAACCCGTTCCTTTGATTTCACGACACTTGTAGAACATGTCACATGTTGGATCATTTGCAGAACTTCCAACCACGAACACAACGCAGAATGGGAACGACGTTCTCGTTTGAAAAGGGCGCAAAAGCTGAGTCACTTATAAGAGTTTCAGTCACATCTGAGAGTTTTCCACAGTTGTTGCATCAGGGAGGACGAACATGCAGAAGTCTCAGAAGTCCAAGCGGTCTCAGAAGCGCGAAGCCAAGTGTTTCCACCTTTTTTTGGGCGTAAGCGGAAGGTGTGTCGTTTTTTTTTTGTGTCTCTTTGGACGTTGCAGGTGACTTGAGCTTCACAGTGAACGACCACACCGTGACCTTGTGGAGCGTGACCTTGGAGGTAGAACCTCTGTTGGACGGATGGTTTGCAGCTGGGAGAAGTAGGGGTAGTGGCCCCATGTGGCCCCCAAGGCATACAACGCATACAAGCCCCGTTTTTCAAACTTGGATGGCACACAACGGGACTTCAGAGGACAACTTTCTCTCGACTCGAAGTCGAGAGATGGTGAGATGGTAAGTCGTCGCGGTTTGTCGTTGGTCGTCAAAGGGTTAAAGCAAAGCTCCAACGACAAATTGCCGAGACGCCGGCACTCCACCCACACTCGCTGTTGTGTCAGACCACCCGCCACTGCAGACACGCGTTTGCTCTCGGCAGGAAGCTCACGTCCAGGATGCTTTGCAACAAATCGCTGAGAGCATCTTACAGAATTTGGAGCCTCGGCTCGACCGACAGACTGATGGGACTTCATGAGGGGCTGCCAGGCTGACAGATGGGTGGAAAGTTTGGGCTGTGGGAAGCGCGGTTTACACTGCCCGCAGGTGTTTGAAATTGTAGTTTCAAAAGAAGATCATCGTCGTCGTCATCATCAGCAGCATCAGCATCAGCATCAGCATCATCCTCATCATTCTCATTCTCATCGTCATCGTCATCATCATGGCAGGGCATTTGTGTGATCCGCGCCTTTGGCCACACGGCATCCCAATGATTAATGTACATATTATTTCATTTGTATAAGGTATAAGATATGCTTCAACAGCTGGAGCATCTCACCAACATCCTGCCGGCACTAACAGTAGCTTTGGGCCCAGTTTTGAGGCCGGTGAGAAGAGAGCAACTCTTTTTTTGGCAGCTGTAGGCTGTAGGGGTAGGAGGGTGTTTTACAGAGCACTTGCACCTCCTACACTCGAGCCTCCAAGCCTCCAAGCTATTGAAAGCCGTTCGACACCGCCGATCCGCAATCGGCACCCCCCTTGTGGCTCAGGCGCAAGTGGAGGAAGCATTGGCTCCTTTTGATCAGTTCAAACACCTTCTCGTTGAGGCGACCATTGCTCGGGCGGCGCCGGTTCACACCACAGCTGGTTCACACCAACCAACACCAAATCATGCTGATGGGCACGTGATGGGAAACGTCTTTCTGTTATCTCTCTTCGGATCGGTCTTCTTGAGAGCTCCCTGTCACTGTTCACAGAATCATTGGTCCATTTTGATGGCATGAGGCCTGGTGTGTCTCACAATAGGGTGGCAGTGGCCTCATGTGACCTCCCCAACTCGGAAACAGCATGACTGGATTTCATCCCAATTGGAGGTGCCCCTCATCTTTTAGAGACATCCCCAGTGGTGGGCCTTTATCAATCAAGAGCCTACATTGCCTACATCAATGGATCCTCCATGTATACTTGGCATAGAGCATTTGTTGTCCCACATGCTTCACCAGTGTTGTGCGCGGAAGTTCCGCGCATCGTTCAGGATGTCCGGATCAAGAAACTCTCAGAGGACACCTTGACGCAGGAGCGAGGGAAACAGATGTAGCGCAGCTCTCATTGGCCCGGTGTGTTTGAGGTTTGTTCCTGCTTTTTTGGCACAGAGATGATGATTTAAAATGTCGCCGCTATCCACGTGATGGTGGGCGATTTCAACGGATGGTGGGCCAGTCTGGTTTAAGTTCGGGGGCTTCTGCCAAACCGGGTTCACGGTTCACTTGGTTTACCCTTCATGGATTACATATACAACACTGGCTGGCTTCTCAAATTGAAAGGATGGTGGTACTGGTAACGTTTGGAAACCATTGAAGCTCAGTGAGAGAATGTTTGACTCTCAACAGGTTGCTGCTATGTTGCGGGGAATGGCAGATGCACTCGCTGTCCTTTTCCTTCCAGTTCTACGCACCACCTTTGTGCAGGACCATGTGATGCAGGAGCTGAAGACCTTGCGCTCGGTGCAGCAAAGCATCCGCAGCACTTGTGCCGAAGAGATTCGCTTAAGTATGGCACCTTGGATGGGACGAGCCGACGGTTTCACCGAGACGTGGACCGTTCGCCAGCGCGCTCGGGTGCAGCGATGCAGGGCCGAAAAGAGGTGGTGACTATAGCAGTTGCGCCAGGGACGTGCAGGCAACAGGGAACTCAGATGAACTCAGATTCTTGCGCCAGGGCCAACCAGCTTCGAAAAAGTCCAAGCACAGCTCCTGCAGAGAAAAGAATCAACAGCTAAGAGGCTCACCACGGTCACCACTGGTTTGAACTTTCTTCCATGATCCCGTCGCAGCGCTACTCCGACGCTACTGCCGCCCTCCGAGGTGTCCATCCAATGCTCCCAGATCAACGAGACCTTGCAGAAGAAGGCTGAAGAGGCGCAGAGCTGAAGAGGTCTTGGCTTCATCCATTTGCATGCGCTCTTGGAGCTGTATCTTCCGCCCGTTGAACTGTCGATTCTCCATTGGCTTCTCTCCTTCCTCGGCCTCTCTCCATAGCGGCTGCGAGGCCATCTACATTCTGCAGGAGTCCATTCTCCGGCATTTGCTGCTGCGCAACGAGGAGCTTTGCAAGCGCTTCGAGATGGCCCCCTGATGTTGATTTGGGAAATGCGCGTGACCGCACAGGTGCATAGGCGCATAAACTGTCACACATGCGCAGTAGGCTTGTGCAAGGTGGGGTTGGTGGTGATGGCGGTGTGCCAAAAGCCGGTGAGGGTTTGGTGCATCGGACCTTCTCATAGTCATCGGCCCACCAGGCCGAGCGTAGCTACGGTCGAGATGGCCACGTTCTACGCTTCGGACCGGTGAGAACAGCCCAAAATAGATTGACCTGGATTGAAAAGTTAATTTGTTCATGCATGGAAAACATATTGGAAGTCGTGAACTGCTGGAACCCTGTTTGATCAGCAACCGATTTATTCCAAGCATACCTTCCACCTTGCACCTGGGGCGAAACTTGTATTCAAACGAAGTGAAGTGAAGCACGCAAGTGAACCCGAGATCGTCTTTTTGTTACTTCTTCATCATAAACCACATTCGTCACAACATGAGTGCAACGATGGCGGCATCCAAGGTGGTGAACCAAGTGGTGAAGAAACCAACCAGTGAGATGGAAGCCTGGATTTCGGAAAGGTGGATGGACCAGCTGGGAGGAAAGGAGGAAAGGAGGATGGAAGCTCCAGGCAGTGCTCCAGGCCTCCAGATTCAGCAGGTGAAACAGCGGGCGCAGCGGGCGCGCCCTACCAGTGAAAGGTTTGGCGGTTTCAGCGGGCAGCGGAAAGGTTCTGTGGATGATGATGAGGATGAGGATGAGGATGATGAGGATGAGTCTAGAATCTAGATGGCTGTAGGACACATTGTGACACACAGAAGTGCCAGTAGTTGGTATACCCCTACAGTGGTTTCAGAGTAGATGGCACAAACCCGAAGATGTCTTTCATATGGATCGATCCGTATCAGTATCAACCACCCTGTACCGATTGTGCCATCTACTCTGAAGCCACTATAGCAGTCTAGTGGTTGTTGTGCGGAAAGTGGCCCATAAATAAAGATCCATAAAGAAACTCACCACTCCGAGTGAGTGATGAAATGTGATGAATCAACCGGACTGGCCATGATTTCCAGATCTCTGGAGGTTTCTGCATTTCCGAAGACCAATTTCACTACAGGTATACTGCATGTTCACCGTTATCCATCCGTCACCAGTGTGACGTCGAAAAAGAAAGCGAAGACAGAACCGCGGGAACCGTGCGGGGGGGCCCGTCTCGTCTCGTCTCGAGTCGGGTTTCGCGGAGCTGAGGAGCTGGTGGACTTGGAGATGTACATCGAGGAGTTCCGCACCACCGGGCTGGGAGACGCTCGGGCGGAGCGCACTCGGGAGCGGCAGGCGCCTGGCACGTGGTGGGAGGCGTCGCGGGCCCAACGAACGGTTCCGACGAAAGCCGCGGGCTGCGACTCTTTAGATCTCCGCAAGACGATCGATCTACAGGGAAGAGGGTGGGAGCGGGAGTGGGCGGATGAGAGTCGATGGGGAAGACAATTGGAGTCCAGGAGGCCTTTAGATAATCTTTGATAGGTCCAATTGATTGCCACTTTCGTCCGCGCATCGCCGCCTAGGCTAGTTGATGGGGTGGCACCGCAAGATAGTAGTCAAGATAGTATAGTGATTGTTAGCTTTATGGCTCCTGGGAGAGTTGTCCACCCAGATCGCGATGTGATGCTACTTTCTTCAAGGCACTAGAACCAGATCGAGTTGGTCGTCTTTCACCTAACCCCTCCGATGTGAGACATCCAAGCCATGACAGGGCCTCCGCCGGCCTCCGCCCATCGAAAAGAATGCCAACACTGACTGAGGAATTGCTGAAGGAGTACGACAGCATCCGGGAATGGCTCTTGTTTCTTTTTGCCTGTGAAAATCAGCTCATGCTGGCCTTGCTGAAGGAGAAGCATTTCCAGGCCCAGAAAGTGGCGTTGGTCAGAAAAGACAACCAAATTTGTGATAGACACATGAGCGTCGTTCAAAAACCCACCTCTTCCTTGTTAGTGATCGAATTTCAAAGGCTGATTTCGAGTGTGCTCTCACTGCAGTCGCGAAAGGTTCGCGAAGGTCCTGCGAAAGGTCTGCGCAAGTCATGTTGGTGACCTGGCCACGCTGCAAGAACAATTGCTCTTCAGACTTCCGATTGCTTTTTCCCGGGTTGGGAAAAAGCAAATTGGAAATCTGAAACAATTTTGCTTTTTCCCGGGCCGGGAAAAAGCAAATTGGAAGTCTGAGCCTTTTGCTTTTTCCAGGCCTGGGAAAAAAACAAATTGGAAGTCTGAACCATTTTGCTTTTTCCCGGCCCTGGAAAAAGCAAATTGGAAGTCTGAGCAAACTGGCCTGACTGAGCCGTCTCTTGTTCATGGAGGGTTGGGCAATCAAAATGGCTTGGTTGGAAGTCTTGACCACTTTGCTTTTTCCCAGCCCGGGCAAAGGCAAATTGAAAGTCTAGACCATTTTGCTTTTTCCCGGCCCGGGAAAAAGCAAATTGGAAGTCTGAGCAAACTGGCCTGGCTGAGCCGTCTCTTTGTTCATGGAGGGTTGGGCGCAACCAAAACCGGAAGTCTTGATCATTTTGCTTTTTCCCAGCCCGGAAAAAAGCAAATTGAAAGCGTAGGCCGGGAAAAAGCAAATTCAAAGTCTGAGTCAAATTGGGAAAAATCAGTTTATATCAGGGTTGCAAAGTAAAATCAAGGAGCTGTGGCCTAATGGATAAGGCGCCAGGCAGGTCGTGGGCTCGAGTCCCACAGGCGCTGCTTGTTTCCAGGCCGGATTCCAAACTGCAAGTCTGATACATTTTTGCTTGGGCCGGGAAAAAGCAAATTGGAAGTCTGAGCAAACTGGCCTGACTGAGCCGTCTCTTGTTCATGGAGGGTTGTGCCCAACCAAAAACACACCAACATGAAAACTGTTTGGTTGGCTGGCTTCCTGTTCCTCAGCAATCAATGTGTCAGTGATCAGAGGACACAAGACGTGCCAGGGCAACTGCATGAATCCTTGAAAGCCTCTAGTCCCAACGAAAAACCATTTTCGCCGACAGTGGTAAAACCCCACGCGCGAAAGCTTGCGAAAGCTTCGCGAAGGTCCTGCGAAAGGCCTGGAAAAAATGAAAGGACTTTTGAACAACCCCCACATGTCGCAATGGAGCATCGTGCTAGAATGTGCTAGACACCTTGTTTCCCCCTTTTTTTCAGGGCACATTTATCATGTCGATTGGTTGAAACTCGAGGTTTGGTTTCTTGCCTAAAAGGGGCCACAACAGGCAACAGGCAACCACCACGTGGCACTCCACAGGCGATGTACGACTCTGCAATGTGGGTGGGCTCCATCCAATACCGAGTCTTCTTTGGCACCAACCTCACGCGCGAGCGCGAAGCACTGGAAAGCAAGTTCAAGGAGCAACGCCACTGGGCGGGATGGGCGGGATGGGCGAGGGCGGGATGCGCTTCTGTTTTTCTTCGCAGCACCCCCAAGACTCTCGCTCATATTTGCTTGAGCTAGAGGTTTTTTCTTCTTGAAATGCTGACCCCCCGAATCTGGAGCAAACGGAATGTTTGATTGTCAACCTGTTGTTCCTTTTCCAACCCAGCGCACCCTAGTTTGCTTTGCGTGTGGGGTGCAGTTTCAAACCTCCCTTCACTGATGGACAAAGAGGATGCCCGGAAAAATAGGATATGCTTCACCCTTGAACCACCAACATAAACTCTGCACAACTCTCAGCCCTGGAGATTGAAACCTAACTGACTGCATTCTGCCATTGAAAAACATGAATCCCGCAAAGTACCACCCCGCCAAAAAAACAGGCACAGCGGCACCCCAAAAAGCGGGTGGAACAAAAAGACCAAGAAAAGCATAGCGGTGACCCCAGGTAACAAGTTCCTGGAAGACCTGGAGGGCTACAACGAACAAGTGGAACAGCTGGCGGAGTGTGGGAACCTTCGGCAGGTCGATGAGCTGCTCGGCCGAACGGAGGGCCGGGTGGATTTGAGCCAGGAGCGGTGCAGATCGGTGCATTGAATTGGTTGGGGAGTTCTGGTGGGTGAATCCCACATTGCTCATCCTTGCCAACAAAACAGCCGGAAAGCGTGTTCGAGGTATTTGGAGCGGATGGAGAACTTGAAGAACAATTTTGCTCGCGCGCACATCGAAGCTGAGAAGCTCAACGCCAAGGCGTTCGGCACCCGTGGCACCCGTGGCATCGGCATGTTCGTGTCAGCGAAGCCAACTCACGACCGAAGCCAACTCGGGGATCTCCTTTCGGGAACGTGATCCGGGGTCCGAACCTGGACCAGTGGGCTCAAACACGGTTTTGAGACGGACTTTTGCGACATTGACGCAGTTTCAGAAGACCCACTAAACAAAAACAAACAAAAATATATATTAATATACTTGTGTTGAAATCAAAAAATGCGGTCCAAGGTTTTTGTTGAAGGCTTTCTGAGCGTTCTGAGGGCGGACGTTTTGTTTTGAACAATGGTTGCATGGTTGCCCTTGGGAACAATCATGTTCCCAGAGACTTCTTGACACTTGGTTTCAACGCATAAATTTGATCATCATCGTCCAATGTGGATAGCTACTGCTGCGTGCACTACGTGCACATACGTGCACCATCCCTCAACATGAGATTCCCCAAACGAAGGTGTAGTTACCAGTTGGCAATATGTTGGCATCACAAGGCGGGTGGAATGATTTGTATTGATTTGTTGTTTTGATAGTGTGCGTCACATGGAGAGAGATGTTGTAGTTTGGAGTGTGCCACGTTTTGAGGGCTTCCCGTTATATCCACTTCGGAATGGCGAGGGACACTGGGTCCCGGCCAAGATGTCGGTTGTCGTCTCCAGGAGAAACGCTTCGGTTGGGAGGTGCGGTCGCCGTTTGAGCAGTTGAAGCGTGGAGAGTTGGCCTTGGAACCCCACTTCGCCTTGTGGTGCCTTGGACGAGAGGTGACAAGAACTCAAAAGTTGAGGTTGGTGATGGTTGGTGTACGAAATTGGTTGGATTTGCTTCCAGCCAATCAAGTGGTGCTTTGGGCATGAGGCTACTTAGTTTCAGCATGAAGGATGGTTCTTTCTTTTCTGTGCCAGAATGTCAACAGGAAGTTTATATAGATGTTCGAGCCAGAAATAGGAGCTTTGATTATCTTGCTCCATACGCAAACATTAATGTCTATTAGTATTTCAGGCAACAACTATGACATGAATTTGCTTGGCCCAATGCCACACAGGCAAATGCCCCGGTTCGATGAGTCGTCCTCCCAGATGTTCCAAGGACGGCGCCCGGTCTTTTTCCAAGGACTTTGGCAGCCAACATGGAAGCGAGCATGCGTTCCTGGTTGAAAGGGCCCATGTTCCATTTGGATCCCTCGAAGGCCGTCGGACGTCCGGGGGAAGGCCGTGGGTAGTCGAGGCGTTTGGGCTGGTGTCCCATCACAATCTTTGCTCAACCAGACGGATTGGCTAAGAAGGGAGGAGGTGGAGCTGGGTAGATGATGCCAAACAGACGGTTTGTTCGACAAGTTCGTTCTGTTTATTTTGGTTGCTGGTTTAAAGTATTAAAGTATTTGTGGGCTAAAGGCATGTACCACAACGACATTTACGGTTTGACATCTGGCGCCTTCTCCAACAGCTTCCGCGCCCAGAAACTAGAGCACCATTCGCTAGCTGAGATGGGACTCCTCTCCTTGTGCTGTTCACGCTGTTCATCATCGTCCTCATCCTCATCATCCACTGTACATCCATTGATATTTTGCTAAGAACGACGGCATTGAATAGATGACACATGCCACATCATGCCACAATCGCCTGACGACTCAGTCGACCAGTTTTTGACAGGGATCTTTGCGTTCACCCTCTTGAAGTTTGTGCAATCTCCTTTTGAAAGCAAGATAAACAATATTATTAGCGATAATGCTGTAGACAATGTCATAAGACGTCAATGATTGTAACATTGTAGATTCTAGACAAGACGCCTTGGGACTTAATTGCTCTGAGGGTCATATTTTCTTCCACCCTGGCCACCCTCGGCCGCCCTCCGCGCTACTCGTACGTTCCCTGCACGCACGTACGTCAGGTGGATTTCGACGTACGTCAGATGCGGAAGGAGGCGATACGATTGAAGGACGGGTCTCGGCTGGACGGCTGGAGACGCTGGAGACGAAGTCTACGGCTGGACGGTTGGAAAAAGGGTGTGAAAGTACTGTAGCTCATGGAGAATTATATAGAGAACTAATTATAGATCATTACAACTAGTACCAGAACTTGTCTTTATAGCATTCTTGAGCGTACCTGATTCGGACATAATTAAGTCGAAGTGGAGGTGGCTAGCAGCGGCTCACACTTCCAGATTTATTGGGTTGGAAGTGCCCAGCGAAGCAATACAATGTAGATGCATTTCCAGGCAGATCCCAGTGGCCGCATTGGAAGACATTATATAGCGTTTGTAACCAACGACATGGTGGGGGCTGGATCCATCTTCATTGAAGCCCCACTCCAAGGATTGACATGCTCATGACCGAACGCAGCCACAGCAGAACTCCAGACCCTCCAGAAACGGTGCACCTATTAACTCTGACAAACCGCCCCGAGGAGCCCTGACTCCGAGCCCCACGACTCCCACGCGCCACACGCGCCACACGACAGGAGCTCTTTGTGGCCGGTGGTGGTGTGGTCTACCCGGACTCTGAGTGCCTTGGCGCAGGCGGCGCGGCGTGCTGGGCGGTGCTGCACTGGGCGGTAGAAGCCTTACTTGAATAGCTTGTTGTCCGAATAAGAGCGAAGGAGTGAGTGAAGGCTTTGTGGAGCCAGATGAAGCACTTGTGATGAACTGCGGCGTCCTATTGTTGTGAACTACTGGGAAGAGTGCGCCAAGGAAGTCGCATGAGATTATGTGAAATTGGTTTGCAGTTTGTAGTTTTTTTTTTGGGGGGGGGGGTTGGTGAGCTCAACCAAAGTGACCTTCCAAGTCTTTGTGGTGCACGAAAGTGCACTCCTACGTGCACTCCTTCAGTCTAGACGTGCGAAGCCATTGAGAAAGAAACCGATGGATTCCAGATGACCCAGGGCAACGCCGTTGTGAAATCCTGAGGGTGTCGGTGTAGAAATTTAATGAAATTTACATGTGTGGGATATATATATATATATATTATATATAGATCTATGGCACTGAACCTATGGCAGTGAACAACCACCTATTGGTCAGAAAACCACGCCTGTCAGTCACCGATAGGTGGTCTCTACAGTTCCCCCACCAACTCGACACAGTCATACACAGTCCCCATTTCCGCCGGCTGAGGGCAGTGAAGAGCATTGAGATCATGGAGGTGGATTTTCAAGGTCTCTTGCATTTGTTGAACACCTTCTTCCTATGCTAACATCCGTGGGCTCCCCCTCTCGAACTTCTGGAATGGATGTATTTGCAACTTTGCATAGTTAACGTATACGTGTGACCCTCACCCAAATGCCTGATCTCCTCAGCCTGAGCGCTTCTTGGAACTTGAGTATGCAGTCCGTGTAGATCTGGGAGATCCAGTGGTCCAGGTCCTGTGCCAAGGCTTTGGATTTGTGATTGCCATAGATCCAAGGCCCTACTGAGCGAGAAAGGCCTCTTCCAGTCCCTGCGCAAGTTGCCGACCAATTGGCCGTGCAAGCGGCCACCATGCAGGAGACCCATTTGAAGCTCCTATACTCGCTTTGAGCCTTGCATGAATGAGCTGTGTGTAGGCACGTAGGCATGGGGTGGCATATTCTCTACACTCACCCTACGTCAATGAATCAAACAGATTTTGGACTCAGACTGACTGGCCTGGTGAAACTGGACCGAGAGTCCTTTGTCGTGCTTGTTGCTCCCCGAAGTGGCTGATTCGGCCTTTCAGATGGAACCTGTGGTTCCACCCCAGGCCAATTGAAATTCTTGCAGAAAGTTGCACCTGAAAAAACTTCATGTCCAGGCGATGCACGGCTGCCTAGGTTATTTGTCACACTCGATGCCGATCGGCACCTGCGATTCATGTGGTCCACGACGGGCGCACCGAGGCAACAAGGCGATGCAGACGCGGCACTGGGAGGAGATCACGAGGATCGTCGGCTTTCCCTTGGAACCGGATGCCGCCTTCACCCTGCAGAAGGCGCGGCGCTGGAACGGGCCGATGTGTTTGAGGTTTCAACCTGAAATGTCAATGTCCATGTCATTGAACTTGCACGGCAGACTAGCACGCAGACTAGCACGCTGCGAGCTCCAGTCTGACACGGCCCATCGTGGGCAGTGAGGAGCAGGAACCAGTCCGAAAGCATGAGCAGTTTCTGATATTGTTTTGTGGGAATTCCCTTGCTTGTTTTTTGACCTTCTCCCCCAGCAGTTGCAAACCGTTGGTGCTGTTCAACGTCCTTGTTTGTTTGTTCGTTTGTTTGTGCATCGTCAGTTGTCAGGCGCTGGAGATGGATGTGCCAAACTTTGCAGATGAGATCCAGGTTCCAACGCGACGTTGTCATTGTGCACGTGATGGTGTCCAAAGCAGGTTGTTCCGTGCAATAGAAGCAACGCAACATGCAAATCTGTTCGTCCAGCTGGATGACCAACTGACCTAAAGGTGCATTGTTCCTGATTGGAGACTTGGAATTCATTTCCGGCATTACCCTTTGTTGGTTGAGAAGAGCAACTATATGTGGAGTCTAGTAGCAGCAACTCGCCGGCCAAACAATATACAGAGCAAATCTAAATGTATATGGGTCTATACTTTTTGCTTCCTCACAGCCAAAGTCCATGGTTTGCAAATTGCAGCAGCGCAGGAGATCAGTGAAGCATCGACCAAGGAGTATGCCATCGAAGTGGCCGCGGACGAGATGGAACACGAGTGGAAGACCTTGTCCTTTGCGCTGAACCCCTGGACGCTTGGGATGGCAGTGATGGATATAACAGCGGGTTTTGCTCTTCATTTTTGTGGGGGTCGGAGACGTCAGATCGGAAGAACCGGCACCATACGCTAAGCTAAACGGCTGCTTGTGTCGTGCCCCAGGGATGCTCTTCATTGTGATGGCCGAAGCGGTTTGGTCATGTCCCGGCACGGACGTTTCCCAGAAGGGTACAGTGCAGTGCAGCCGTGCCATGCCGTGCCATGCGCAGAGATGGGTAGCAAGCGAATGTAACAGACACTCCGGCCGGACAGTTTTGTGGCA